ATGTTAACATTGGTATTCGACCTTTAGATGATCTAGTATTGCTTTTCTTGAACACAGACATGTGTTTTCCAAATTTTATGAACATTACCGTGTAAGCAAATCAGAAACTAGGTATGCCATACCGTCAACTCATAAGGAACCAAAGCTTATACCAGACAACAGCAACAGAAGATCAAAACAAAAGGAAGCTTATAACCCAACACCAGAAATGATATTTGTATTATAAAAGCGTTGGCTGTATCTCATATATTTGAAATAAATGAATCTCTAGTGCTACCGTACATGCATCATTTCGACATTATTGTTTTGAATCGGTAGTACATGAAAATCTTTCAAAGAGGATTTTAGGAAATTAGTTTTAAGCTAGCTGTGTAGTATTGCATTTAGCTATACTGTAGTTTACTTTTATGATATTCATGTTACCATGGACGCGATTTGTGAAATATCAAAATGTGTCGTTGCTAGGTGAAGATCTGAAAACTGTTAAAGAAAACCGCTATACAAAATACCAAACTGTCAACAAACCAATACTTGAACTCAAAATCGATAAAATCTGTAAAACTGTGGCAAATATGAACAAAGGAAAGATTTACGTGGTTAACCTTGAAAGAAATCAATAATAATAGATGTTCAAAAAGGATAAGCATATTATGCTTTATCGCCAATATCGTCCATGTAAATCAACATCAAATCTCATTAATGTTACGACCTCAAAGCAAGAACCGGGGTAATGATAACGAAACGAAACGAAAAGAAAAACATCGACGTTTATACCACACAAAGAAGTGTATTCTTCGTCAACATGCAGCTTTCGAAACCTTGTGATGCAAGTTTGTCCGTCAGCAGTCGACATTCTACAACGATCTACAATGGATACCATGGAAAGCATGTTAAACTGGGCAAGCACGTGAATACCAAATCAGCTGCGACATATTCCGTCTTTGCGTATTGCAGAGTTATCTTCTCTTGAGAACAGGTATTGATTGTTACGTCATTGGTTTGTGAGAGTAACGTCATCAATTTTTGAGAAAATGACGTAATTTTCTCACACAAACTAATGACGTAACAATCAATACCTGTTCTCAAGAGAAGATAACTCTGCATTACGCAAAGACGGAATAGATACTGTATATATATATAAATATGATGTATATGTACATGTAACTGTTCTGTTTCACTGTGTCTTGAAAAAGGAGCGGATCGCTCCGAAAATTTGACAACCTAAACTTGTCCACACTGTTGGAATTACTTCTAATCAATACCTGTTCTCAAGAGAAGATAACTCTGCATTACGCAAAGACGGAATAGATNTATACACATATTGAGCTTATGGTCTGGAGGTGTCTTATACTTTGATATAGTTGTAACTTTTTAACATTCTTTTTAGACATTGAAACGAATTGGAAAAAAAATGAAAAAAATTGTGGTATCTGAATGACATTAGGAAATATGTTCAGAATTTCTCTGCAAAACGTTGTTCACATATACAACTAGTGTTCTAGTAGTGCGTTTTGCCATGCTAAAGTTTTTAATTTCAATATTTTTTTCACATCGAAAGTAATAGTAAAATAACCACTATTTGTCATGAAAACACGAAAACCATTGTGATATCTCTACGAAACATGGCACAACGTTGTATATATATATATATATATATATATAGCTGTTTGTCTAGGGGTGCATATTGTTTGAAGAATTATAAAAATAAAAACATATCTTATTTTACAACGTTTTAGGGTATCTTTTTTTTCTTTTCTTCTCTTTATGGTAATTAATTAATCAGACATTAAAAAAAAAAAAAAAAAAAAAAAACACTGTTCAAAAATATGTATTTCATAAAAACAAGTGTTATGGTTAAACAATATCACTGTTGATAAATTGCATGTTCTGTATTGAAAGTGAGTAACACGTAAACCGATAATTGGCACGGGGATGTTAAAAAGGGGGCTTTGTTTTATGACGCAATATCCGGTTTTATGGATCGATGACATTTGTCGTGTCTCCAACACGTGTGTACGTAGGGATCAAGACTGGATTTCAGGTCCAGCCAGGACAATCACTTAAATCAACATGCCAAAGATACGTGGTCCCAAGTTTTTGGACTCTGTCCCAGGTTTAACTGTACCGAAGTACACTGATAGTTTCTTTTCACACTAAAACCATTGTTTCACAATAGAACGAAACTATTGAAAACTTTCTCCCTTTTTTTCCCGAGCAACGCATGCCTCCCTACATTTCATATGGTACAGCTGGTGTAAAATGTGGCAGAAGGTTCCATTACATTTGATGGGGTTTGTGGGTTTAATGACAGGTGACAGTTATGTCAAATTATAAGATCGAGGTGATTGCTTTTATCATGCTACAAGAAAAATGTGTATTGGTTCAGGGTGGCGCTACTGTTATTTTGAGGTTAATAACGATTTTTCTGGCACGTTCGCCTGATCACGGTGTAAATGAAATCAGTGGCGAAAGTATAAATAGAATGTATTTCTGTCAAAACCATTTGAGAAGTAAGACGTGATTCAAATTGGGAACACAAGCTGTAAATCTATAGATGTGCTAGAATATTTATTTTCGCGATCATAAAATGAATTATTCGCAATGATTTGAATTCGTGATATGAACAACTAGTAATAAATATAGCTTTTTTGAATGCATGAACAAATATTCGCCGCCAGATATTTGCGATCGCCTTTACCATATGAATCGTTAAGACTTCCGAGATATTTTCTAGTTATTTTCCTCTGTGAACCATTTCTGCTCCATAACACCCTCTTGCTTGCTGATAGAATTCAGTTGCCTGCAAGTCTTCCCGAACGTTCAAATAGCGGGTTCACAAATTTTCGGAAGCTGGAGGGTTTCTGCATTACGTCCAGAAAATGAACGGTAGAGGCCTGCTACATGCACCAATATGTTCAGACACTGACGGGCCGAGGGCCTCCTGTATACACCGTTTTTCCAAGCTTACCGCTCTTTGTCATAATTTTCAGAAAAATATACAGGTGCAGCTAATTAATGTCACCTGCTCAATTCCAGTGCAATGATGGGCATTTGGGTATTATATAACTGGTACTTGTGTTACTTTTCCAGTTGTAGTATTTTTCTTGGTTGTTCATGCAATATGTTTTACAATATTCCCATATAATACGATAGGTACAGTACATAAGCTGTGGGCATGCTTCCTTGAAAAGACGAGTATTTTCCCTCAGCCATTGTTCTCAATGTCGTACATTCATGGATTATATCAGTCCTTTACCGTTAACTTTTTACTTATTTTATTCCTGCTGCATGGATCGCTACAGTTTCCCTCCATCTTACCCTCCACTATATGCTGTGCCTCACAATAGGTGAGGTTCAATTTCTTCAGGTCGACAGTGACCGTTCTCCATCGGTTGGTCTTCATCCGTCCAGGATCCCGTCTCCAAGGAAGTTGATATCGGAGATCTACCTCGGGAATGCAGTTCTTATCTATCTTGAATACAAGTCCAAACCACCAGAGCTTCTCTACCACATTGTCCTGTATGTCAGTCGGTCTTTAGAGTTCTTCGTTGGGTGTGATATTGTGCTAAAGATGTGAGATCTTCTAGAGACAGACACCTGTCGTGTAAGCATTCTAAACCACAAAGCGGAGGTGATTTGACGATACTGTAGAAGAGCCGAATCTTGATCTTCGGACTGTACTAGTTTGACATCCCGATGGGTCGATTATAAGGGGGAATTCAACAGGGGCTTAACTAAGTTTTCTTTTAATGTAATTATGTGCTCCGTTGTCTTGGCTGTTCAAACTTCCTAGTAAGTAAAGTTCTACACACACGCGTGGCTCACCGTTCACCACGATAGATGCACACGGAGCACGTCATTAGGGGTTCGGCTCTTGACTTAGCATATTGTCCTCCTCAATCCTGTTCAGAGGTAATCGACAAAAGTCTTTCCTCGGGATAGATAGTAGAGTTATGTCACGCTATTCGTCAACATTTTAGAGGCCACTCAGATGTTTCAGCTAGATGTCAAATTGTCCTACGCTTTTCGTTGGCAAGATAAGCTCTCTCAGGTCCCGACATACTGTTTTGGCAGGTTTTGTTTAGAATTATACTTGCATCTCATACAATCTCTAATAATAAAAAAGGAGAAATCTAATACGCTAGCATCCAAATCTTGATATCACACACAGAGCGGAGGTCTGAGTAATCTAACAATCAGACTCTTTAGCTACGGCAACTTTAATTCATTTTAGTTAACTTTGTTTCAATAATAATCTACTGGAGTTGTCACAGCTGAATAGCTAATTCAGAGTCTTGTTCATGGAAGCTTCAGTTTTCTGCTAGCTGTCAACGTGACATAGTTTCCAAAGATGGTATTTCAGTGAATGTCATGATAAATGCTTGTTAACTGTTTGATAGTTGTGGTGACCAGTGTTTGACGGGTACCAAATACAGTGCAGAAAACGTCCATCTTTCTGCAGCAATAACTTCGCCTCAGTATTGTTGAGTTTTTGTTCCATTAAAAGCCTGGCCTCGGCTTTTGAATACCTATTTGTCTGCTGTAGCCTGAACTTGTGTAGCCACGGTTTTGTAGACACCCTTTCGTTTTACTGTATTTTTACGTGTTTTGGAACACCTTAGTCTTTGTTTCTCATTATTTTGACCTTAAGTACACTGATGATTCCAAAATTGATGAAATGGCCAAACGGTGTAGTAATATATTAAATTGGTTTGGCCTCCTGCAATGAGAAAATTAATTTTGAAAAAAGGTTTCCTCCTTGCTTCGCATTTCAAGTAATCATTTATCTATGCGTGTTGATATCTTAATTTGTTTTTTATTCTGTCTTTTAAGTGATTTGTCCGGACAAGTATCAAGAATAATTAAGAAATATTTATGTTCAACAGATAACAGGAGGCCAGACGGATTGGAATACTGACAGCTCGCTCAAGAACTTTGACACAGGTGAGTTTTATACAACAACAAAATCAATGCATAAAAAATAAAGGATAAAAGGTGACTCCAAATAAAATCTAAATTTATTCAGCAAAACAACTTTAAAGTAGTAGACTGACCGCAAAAAAAGGACGAAACATTAACATTTAACATATATGCATTACGTGCTGGGCCGGAGTACACAATACATAAATATCAATAACACAATGTGGTGTATAGCTCTGTGTAGAGGAGATGGGGCAGAGTAATGGACAGGTACCACTCCTCTCTCTTGTATAAATATGTATAAGCAGGCAAGGCCCATGAAAATTACACGAATGGTACCAAAATTACCGAAAATCATTCAAACAAAACTGGTAAACTAGGTGTACTTCGAAATTTCTGCTTCAACTGCAATATTCTTAAGTAATTTTTTTTCCCACATACTTCTCTTTATTATAAAACTTCAGCATTTCCGGAGAAGAGTGCAAATCAGCATTAAAAGTGCATGTGTAATCATATATTCCATCTTGTTTAAAAAATAAATACAATAAAATAGTGTGAATGAAACCCTCAAGTATCAAACAATCACAATGTCCTTTATGTAAAAAGTGAGATTTTCGTATCCGGATGACTTCATCTTGGATTCCAGCAGAAATTCTCAAGTCCTCATTCCGAAGTTTGTGAATGACTTTTTCCTGATATCAGATGCCAGAAGTTTAAATACCCTGATAAGTAGGTAAGAGTATAGTAGCGCTAGGTGTAATATGACCAGAATTAAGCACTTTAACTGTCCAATATGAACTTAACTGAGTGCTATCACAGTGAAGCCTGCTTACATTAATATATTTGCACCAAATCACAGTAGTGTACTCACAGTAAGAATATACATTCATAAATCAAATGGGAAATAATTTAACCCAGATTAAATCACAATATTTTCAAGTATGTTAAGGTGTCAATAAATTGTCAATTTATATGTTCTTTTATCAGATGTGCAAAAAACACACCAAAAAACCCTGTTGTACAGATTTTGTATTTGATGTAATGAATGTGAAAGCCAGGAGTCTATCACAAAGTTCTAATGCAGAAGGGTTTTACTGGAGATTAGAAAACTTTTCCATCATGACAAAACATACCTTTTTTTTTTTACTGAAACACCAAAGCTGTACTATTTAGGTCATACACAGTATGGGGTATAGTAAATTATTTTATTTTTTTCGTCTTTTGTGTCAAACTAATTTCTTCAAATAACAAAAACTACAAAAAGCAGGTCACTCTAACAAGGCAAAATTAACTAATAGAACAAAAAGACATCTAAAACTGTGAACTTACACAGGACACGAAATAAGAAGTATATGAATTTATCCAACAACCAACCTTGGAATCTTGCATCTTAATACAAGCAGGTGGGAATAAAAGATATATCGTATAGCCCTTTCACCAAACAAATATTTTTGGTGCGGGTACAAAAATGTATTACTTTTGATGCAAAAAATGTTCATGTTTGGTAAAGTTCTTTCATTTAGCACGAAAATGAATGGTGAATGTTAGAATGTTAAAGTGAATGCGTGGACACAAATCAAAATAATGTATTCTTAGTTTTCTGAAGGTTAGACACTTGGTAAAGATACTTTTCCCTCTCACCTTTTGTACAATCGGTGGATATGTGGGTACCAATACAATTTATTTATTTCAATTGCAAACAAAGACATAATAACGAACACACATGCACATACACAACAGAACCCTGGTAATTTTGGATTGGTAGTAATAAGGAGGAAAAGTGAAGACAGAAGAAATTCTCCGGGTCAATCCAATCCACAGTTTAGACCAATCTGTCCAATCACTGAGTAGTGTTCGTGTATCTATTAGGTGGATTACTCCGATCCAGTAACGCTACATCCTATTATACACGTAAGAAAAGCAACAGCAATATACAAAGTAAGCAAAATATTGCACTAAAATTATCGTAAAAATTTGTTACACAAAATCTGAATATCTAAATCTACTTTTCTATGCCAAACATTGGTAAAATATCTGATCATGTTAATCAAGAGTAACATGTCTTTGTTTTTCCTTTTATCAACGACACTTTTTCCTGTACCAATATAGATTGTTCTATATATCTTTCAAAGGAATGAACAAAAAACATCACAAAATATACGCAAATTGTTATGCATGTCTTCTTTCAAATTATGCTGAACCACCTAAAAATTTAGACATGATAGGAGCTAAACAGGAATACTCCCTAGCCAAGACAGTAGGAAAGTAGGAAGTGGCTAGTATCTTACCAGGGTGACATTAAGATTTGTGATAATCTATCACAGTAGATTCGTAAAAAGCCAAGGTATACATTTATTTAATGACTAACACCAACTAATGCAATTATCATTTGTCCATAACACAATCTTGTGTGAAAAATAACACAACTTTGCGTGAATATAACACAACCTCATGTGGAAATAATACAACCCTGTGTTACAAAAAAAAAAAGCTTCTTTCTGTGTATATAAAAATCCTGTATGTGAATAACAGTTTTCTTTCTAGTCGTAACATATAGCATATTTGTGTGTACCTTCTACCATTATATCTGGCGACGGATCACCTAGTGGACAGAAAATATGTTCACCTTGCATTAAAACTGCTGATACATCGCAGTAAATGTTGTCTCAGTCCCCTCTGCTATACAAAACTAGTATTATATATACATACCACAACCTGGTATTCATAGGTATATAACACCTTCCTGTATTGTTTACATATCATTTATTGTAGGTACGTACATAGCACAACCATTCCGTGTAAATAACACACTACTGTGTTAAACCATTGGGGTATAAAACACAGCATAACACAGCTTACATCTTTCTGAGCATATAACACGATTTTGTGTGTATAACACCAATCAGTTTTCATAACACCATTGGTTTTATAGCACTAATCTGTTTTCTTAATAATAATGTTTTCGTAACATCGTTCTGTTTGCATAACAATTGTTATGTGCAAATAACACAACTTTCTGTGTAAACATGATCATCCGAGAGGTTTTCACACAGATTTGGTATTTTTAGCAATGGTTACATGAGTTCTTGGCCCATACTTAGTGCGAAATGATATTTCAACTTTTCCAGTAACCATCCTCAGCACTTTTGTCAATGGCAGTACATGTATCAACAGAAAGAATGCTGTATACCTTTTTGAAATTGTTAAATATTGCCAAAAATGTATGGTGAAATTACCCTTGCAAGATGTTTGTTTTATATCTTCTACAATCTATAGACTAGGATTCCGGAAGGGGCAGTGTGTGTGTGCTATAAAGACTAAACTAGGACCCTGGAATAACCATCGTCTCCTAGTCTTGAGTAGAACCCTTAAAGGAACAACATGTCTCTTACAGTCTATATAAGGACCTTGGAAGGAGCAGTGTTTCCTAGCCTAGACTGGAACCCTTAAAGGAACAACCTGTCTCTTACAGTCTATATAAGGACCTTGGGAGGAGCAGTGTTTCCTAGCCTAGATTGGAACCCTTAAAGGAACAATATGTCTCTTACAGTCTATATAAGGACCTTGGGAGGAGCAGTGTTTCCTAGCCTAGACTGGAACCCTTAAATGAACAACATGTCTCTTACAGTCTATATAAGGACCATGGGAGGAGCAGTGTTCCTAGCCTAGACTGGAACCCTTAAAGGAACAACATGCCTCTTACAGGCTATATAAGGACCTTGGGAGGAGCAGTGTTTCCTAGCCTAGTCTGGAACCCTTAAAGGAACAACGTGTCTCTTGCAGTCTATATAAGGACCTTGGAAGGAGCAGTGTTTCCTAGCCTAGACTGGAACCCTTAAAGGAACAACATGTCTCTTACAGTCTATATAAGGACTTTGGGAGGAGCAGTGTCGGAGCAGTGTCTCCTACAGTCCATAGACTGGGAGGAACAACCTGTCATCTTCAGTCTGAACCAAGATCCTGGGTGGAAAAGGACAACATGGTGTTTATTACCATCTTTCTACCTTAAACGACCTTCAGACGACACACTGTCATATACCGAGGTAAATATTCAGACGAAATTTCTTATGGTTCTGCTGGTTTGGAATGGTGATTCACTGGAACAAATAGTAAAGTATATCATCGGTTAAGAAAGAATGGGGACCTGTGACCTTGAGTCTAATTTCTTACCCCTTGCTCATCAATTTATCTGTCTTGCTAAGAATATTATGTTATCTCATTTTGACGTTCTTATGATTTTAACTCAAAAGTAGAAAAATGAAAAAACATTATATAATTATAACAATGATAAATCTAAACAAATATTACATATATTACAAAATATCTCAAAAATCTGTTAACAATTATGCTTCCTTATTCTGTCACTTGTATCAAGTACAGGTAATTAAACGAGTTGATTTGATTTTGTCAACTTACAGCAGCACTTGATGATTTGTCTATTACTGCACCAGATAAACTACTCAGCTTGAGGTTAGCCTCCAAAGGCTTCAAATATTTCTCATAAATGAGGGAACTTTTATACTATTCCTAATTAACAGTTTTTTGGAATTGTCCTTGTACCCCCACCTGGTACCAGGCATGAAAGCAAAACACCAATACACATCAGTATAACAATGAAGGTGAAAAAGGCAAAATATCGGCATACTATGCATACAAATACATACAAAAAGTTCACATTAAATATTTGATATATTTTTCAAAAAATAGACAGAATAGAATGAAATCTAGCGGGTATACGATAAAAATAAGATTTGTGTAGCAAGTCATTATAGCACTTCTCTGTAATCATGTCACAACTCACATCGTTTGATGTTGACTAAACAAACATGGACGTAAATAGATGTGGTCTATCGTAAATATTATCCTAAATTACGACGTTCCTTAACCCAGTAAGTTGTTATAACCAAGCTATCAAAGGCATTCATCAGCTGGTGAAGGTTGACAGGAGGAACACACAGTCTACATATCAAGTGGGAGCACACAAAGGGAACGTGACACAAAAAGGATATCAACAAATTGAATATCTAAAAATATCATGTTGTTTCACACTCCATTATCATGAAAGACAAAAATAAGAGATACTTTTTTGACTCTAGAGCATCTGAACTTTCTCTAACCCATTGGTTACGAAACCTTTATTAAGCTTTAAAACTGATAAAGAAAGGTGTTAACTAATTGATGTAAAACCGGTTGCTAGGCAAGGCATTAGTTACAGGAAAGAAAGTGAGAACTGTGGATGTAGTAATGGTATAACCAGCCTTTCAACATTGATAGGACCAGACCACTGTAGATAGAGGTGAAGGCAAATTAATGTTCATTAATTTGAATTTCAACAATACTCTATAACACTTAAAGATCATGATAAGAATTTTAAAAACTTGAGGCCTAGAGATCCTGTAAAATATACTCATTCGAGATAATATTTCAAACATTTCCCAATCTTGTCTCAGCCTCACGGCATTAAGGTGGACAATTTTAACATACCCTCATTTATACAAAATTTGAATTCCTGGTCCTAAGTATGCCTTATATGAGTTTGGCTGAAATATGATCAATTAAGTATTGAAGACTTAAACGTGCAAATTACCCTGTTTTGGGCTAACACTCTTCCTTTTCATATGTGAATATTTATTCCCATGTCAAAAAAACCTAAGATGTTTCATAGTAAATGTGAATAAGACCCCAATATTTGTGAATACATGTATAGGGTAGAGATCTCCATTGTTTCCAGGTTATTGACCAAACAGTTAGTCAAATATCTGGGGCTGGTAGGACCCATGAGGCAATCATGGTAGCATGAGGTTATTTGTCTTTTCATGTTTAGCAAGCACACATAGTAATATTTGAATTTATTTAAGAAATTATAACCTTAGCGTTGTCTCAAACCAAAATTGTAACAATTCATGTAATCTTTTGGAGGGATAGACTTTTTAATCAAAAGCCCCTAATTTCGCCTGTTGGGCCCAACCCGTCTGCTCCAAGTTGTGGCATCAATTTTATTTATTTAGGAAATAATGGTCTTGCTCCAATCATCGCTTTCAAATTTGGTGACAACGTGTGAAGCAATTTAAGAAAAGTAGGCTTTTTAAGTGAGAGTTGATGACACAGACGGATGACAAATGTTGCGCCATCCCACAAGCTCTACCTGGCCTTGGTGAGCAAAAAACATACCTGTGATATGTATGTAGCTTAACAGATATGTAGCACATGATTTGCATAAGGACAAACACAAGGTGTGTCATAAGTGTGATGAGGTGGTCATAGTATATAACATTATGCAGTGCCATAAAACTGGAGACATACAAAGTAAAAATGTGTGTGGTAGTTAAGAACTTTCGTATCATGATACTAACATGCATGACAAAGTTGGAAATGTAATGTTTTTCAAATTAAATAAACTACAAAATTTTCTTTTAACACTTCATTCTATATTCACTCTTCAAATTATACTTTTGAGAATGATAAACATTTCTATGTCATTAACCATATGTCAATTCCATGTTTCGAGCTTCCCTTGTCGCTATCATATGGAATCAACTTGTTATGTTGGAAACATTCTGATTAATTTTGATTGCTAGTAATTTTTCTAACCTGGTTCATTAGATGAAACATTGTTCAGTTCATCTTTGATCATGCTCTTACAAAGCAAACTTCTCTTTCATGTATTTTTCAAGCCGAGATACAAAGAATTCACTAAACCTATAAAATATATGTAAATTATGCCTAGTGAATAAAGTCAGAGAATACTTTCAGAAAGAAAGCACATTAAGGTATAACATATGACTCATTTTATAAGTAAAAATCTAATTCACATTACAAACGGTATACTGTATCTCCGCTTCTAAAATGTACAAAATATAGAATCAACCAGTTCACGATAACAATAGGTAGAAATACAAATGTACCTGGTACCTGACCACCCTTTCGTCTCCACATGACATTAGTAAAATTAGTAAATTCTTTGTCATCATATCAAATTTTAATTGTCATCATATTAAATTTCAACACCACTTATTTTACCACCATAATTTATGAGGGTGGAAACCAAACATAAATATGGAGATCTAAAATCCAGATAATGAAAATAATTTCCACTACCTTACGTACCCTTACAGCAATGGGGAGATACAACAGGAATCCACCAGTACAAAGTGTGATGTAACACACTTCCCAACTATGGAACATTTTTACTTCCATCGCCCTTTCATTTTGCCCCCTTTTGAGCAGAATTTGGCGACTAAAATATTCTACTGTCAAACGTCTATTTCAAAATAAATATTACGATTAGGAGTATCATGATTGTGTTCAATGTTTCAGTCATAACAGTACAATTTCGTTGTTCATCAAACATTTCAACCAACACCATTGAACAACTTACATATGATAAAAGTATTAAAATAGATATCTCTCTAACCCTTTCACCCCTATGCAACTTTAGTTGACTCTCCCATGCATTGATCTGGATGAGTTCAACAGGGTCTACAGTGGTGAAAGGGTTAATTATTCACACTAATGTGTTATAATAAACAACAAATCAAATATCCTACACTGAAACATAGTGAGAATACAATGTCTTATTCTATTAGTATGTACGGAGTTAAATTTCAAAAGGAAAGTAGACCGCTATTCAATAGCAATGTCAACTACATGTTGTGTAAAACTTTAAAAATTTAACGACAAATTTATACATGTACATATATATATATATTGTTTTAAGCAATGAAAGCTGGGTTTTCCTTTGTTGTGAAGGTAATCTATTAACATTAATTATATACAGCTAATGAGTTGAATTTCAGTCAATAAGGAAGAGTATATTTCCATACATCTTGCTAGCTGAATGTTACCTAAGTATGTGTAAAATCAATAAATTCCATTACATGTACTTCCAATTAATGTATCTGTAGTTGATTGACAATGATTAAAAGTATAATTACAACATGCAGCTATTCATAAATATTCAGTTCCTATGTAAATATTCGTTAATATAACATTTATCGGTCACAAAAAAAAGAACCTCATTCTGAGTTACCTTGTTAGGAAATTTTCAAAGTAATGAAAGACAAATTTCGTGGTTAATGTTGGTTAGAGGTCTAGGTTCTAACCAAATATGTTTAAGTAGTTTGGAGATCAATGTGATAGTTAAGTATGTACAGGTTTTATGGATGCCAATGTCATATTCAAATACGATGAACTGTAAAAGTGGAAATTTTCCTGGGTGACTCTTCTTTGTACGGATCGGAGTGTGGACATTTTCGTGTTGCCAATAGTTCAGAGATCTATACATCCCAAAAATATATAATTGCTCGTGAACATTTTTGTGCTAATTTACTTTATGCGAAAAACTGTGAACATTTCCCACAACGCAAAAAAAAGAATCCACTTTTGCAGCATGTAGATAATTATTGTATGGAAGTTAATATGATTTATAATTATGCAGCTGTTGTAAGTTGGTACATATCAAGTATGAAGTGTTTGATTAGAAATTAATGGCTAGTGTAAATGGAAGATGTAAGATGGTGGTTACTGGTGTGTAAAAAGATTTACATAATTGATTTATATTTATATAAGTTTGGTGTAGAGGCGGTTAATGATTGTACTTTTTATGTGATTAATTGTAGTTGATGGCAATCACGATTTAAAAAGAAGCTTATGGAGTGAGGTGACAGTATTCCTGTAAAGATCTGATGGGGCGACAGTGGGCAGTTCAGTCTGGAAGATCTTTATACCTAAGGTAAGTGATGTACAAAAATATAGACTAACGGTGGGTGGCAGCTCATATACATCATACATTTAGTTCATCGTTGGAATGTTGTAACTGGTAGTATCAGTGGCGATACGTGTAATGACAGTCATCAGTATTGGTGATTGATAGCGGAGGTAGGGAGTCATCAGGGGAAGTCAGGAGGAGGCCGGTGTCTCTTGGTAACTTGTGTTTCATAATTCTTTGGCTCTAGGCATTGTACAATATGTATTAGTTTGTGGTCACCTTGGTCAGTGCAGATACTGAACCTGTCACTAGAATATGTTGATATCGGCTTGTCAATGGTTAGTGTTGATGCTGAGTCTATTTCTGGTATATGTTGATAATGAGCCTGTTACTGGTAAGTGTTGGTGCTTACACCGTCACAGGTATAATGTGTTGATATCTAGCCTGGAACTAGTAAGTGTTGATTCTGAGACCGTCACAGGTATAATGTGTTGATATCCAGCCTGGTACTAGTAAGTGTTGATTCTGAGACCGTCACTGGTATAATGTGTTGATATCCAGCCTGGTACTAGTAAGTGTTGATACTGAGACCGTCACTGGTATAACGTGTTGATATCCAGCCTGGTACTAGTAAGTGTTGATTCTGAGACCATCACTGGTATAATGTGTTGATATCCAGCCTGGTACTAGTAAGTGTTGATACTGAGACCGTCACTGGTATAACGGGTTGATATCCAGCCTGGTACTAGTAAGTGTTGATTCTGAGACCATCACTGGTATAATGTGTTGATATCCAGCCTGGTACTGGTAAGTGTTGATTCTGAGACCGTCACAGGTATAATGTGTTGATATTCAGCCTGGTACTAGTAAGTGTTGATTCTGAGACCGTCACTGGTTTAATGGTTTGACACCAAGCCTGTCAGTTGTATGTGTTGATTGTTGATTCTGAGACAGTCACTGGTTTAATGGTTTGACACCAAGCCTGTCAGTTGTATGTGTTGATTGTTGATTCTGAGACAGTCACTGGTTTAATGGTTTGACACCAAGCCTGTCAGTTGTATGTGTTGATTGTTGATTCTGAGACAGTCACTGGTTTAATGGTTTGACACCAAGCCTGTCAGTTGTATGTGTTGATTCTGAGCCCGTCACTGGTTTAATTTGTTGACACCAAGCCTGTCCGTTGTATGTGTTGATTCTGAGATCGTCACTGGTTTAATGTGTTGACACCAAGCCTGTCCGTTGTATGTGTTGATTCTGAGATTGTCACTGGTTTAATGTGTTGACACCAAGCCTGTCCGTTGTATGTGTTGATTCTGAGATCGTCACTGGCTTAATGTGTTGACACCAAGCCTGTCAGTTGTTTGTGTTGATTCTGAGACCGTCACTGGTTTAATGTGTTGACACCAAGCCTGTCAGTTGGATGTGGTGATTCTGAGACCGTCACTGGTTTAATGTGTTGACACCAAGCCTGTCAGTTGTATGTGTTGATATCCAAGTTGGAGAGCTAGCAATGATAAGTTGGTGAAGCTGGTTAGTGGTATGTGTCCGTAGTTAGTCAGTTATTGGTAGGCGATGGGATAGTCCTGTTGCTGGGTGAAGCTCTGGAACTGAGTTTGCTGGTGTTGCTCTTGATGGCCGAGGTTAGGCACACCCTTCCTATATACCAGCATGTTAAGTTGGGGCTTCCTCTGTATGTACTCCACCGCCTTCCTGTGTGTCACCACCGTCATATCATGGCCATTCACCTGTAACACAGTCCATTACAAATCAGTTGTGTGCAACTCAGTCTGTCACCCGTAATAAAGTCCATCAAAACCCAGTCACCTGTAACAAAGTCAATGTAAACTCTTTCAAAACCCAGTCACCTGTAACAAAGTCCATCAAAACTCAGGCACCTGTAACAAAGTCCATCAAAACTCAGTCACCTGTAACACAGTCCATCAAAACTCAGGCACCTGTAACACAGTCCATCAAACTCAGTCACCTGTAACACAGTCCATCAAAACTCAGTCACCTGTAACACAGTCCATCAAATCCCAGTCACCCATGACATAGTCCATCAAATCTCAATCACCTGTAACAAAGTCCATCAAAACCAAGTCACATGTAACACAGTCCATCAAAATGGAGTCACCTGTTACAGTCCATCAAAACTCAGTCAACTGTAACACAGTCCATCAAAACTCAATCACCTGTAACACAGTCCATCAAAACTCAGTCACCTGTAACAAAGTCGATCAAATCTCAGTCACCTGTTACACAGTCCATCAAAACTCAGTCACCTGTAACGAAGTCAATCAAAACTCAGTCACATGTAACAAAGTCCATCAAAACCAAGTCACATGTAACACAGTCCATTAAAACTCAGTCACCTGTAACAAAGTCCATCAAAACTCAGTCACCTGTACGAAGTCAATCAAAACTCAGTCACATGTAACACAGTCCATTAAAACTCAGTCACCTGTAACAAAGTCCATCAAAACTCAGTCACCTGTAACACAGTCCATTAAGACTCAGTCACCTGAAACAAAGTCCATCAAAACTCAGTCACCTGTAACACAGTCCATTTAAACTCAGTCACCTGTGACAAAGTCAATCAAAACTCAGTCACCTGCAATACAGTCGATCAAAACTCAGTCACCTGTAACACAGTCCATCAAAACTCAGTCACCTGTTGCACAGTCCATCAATACCCAGGCACTTGTAACACAGTCCGTCAAAATGCAGTCACCTGTAACAAAGTCAATCAAAACTCAGGCACCTGTAACACAGTCCATCAAAACTCAGTCACCTGTTACACAGTCCATCAAAATTCAGTCACCTGTAACAAAGTCAATCAAAACTCAGGCCCCTGTAACACAGTCCATCAAAACTCAGTCACCTTTAACACAGTCCATCAAAACCTAGTCACCCATAACATAGTCCATCAAAACTCAGTCACCTGTAACACAGTCCATCAAAACTCAGTCACCTGTAACAGTCCATCAAAACTCAGTCACCTGAAACACAGTCCATTAAAACTCAGTGACCTGTAACACAGTCCATCAAAACTCAGTCACCTGTTACACAGTCAATCAAAACCTAGTCACCCATAACATAGTCCATCAAAACTCAGTCACCTGTAACAAAGTCAATAGTCCATCAAAACACAGTCACCTGTAACACAGTCCATCAAAACTCAGTCACCTGTAAAATAGTCCATTTTCACACAGTCACCTGTAATAGAGTCCATCAAAATTCAGTCACCTGTAACACAGTCAATCAAAACCCAGTCACCTGTAACACAGTCCATCAAAACTCAGTCACCTGTAACACAGTCCATCAAAACTCAGTCACCTTTAACACAGTCCATCAAAACTCAGTCACCTGTAACACAGTCCATCAAAACTCAGTCACCT